TTACTAAGTACACCAAAGAGGAACTACTAAGTAATTACTAAGTACACCAAAGAGGAACTACTAAGTAATTACTAAGTACATCATAGAGGAACTACTTAGTTAATTATAAATTATTCAGTAATTACTTTTTTGTGTACCCTAAAGTAAAGTGAAGCATACTGAGTAAGTAATGATTAGTAGTTCCTCAGTAGTGAAACTCTAGTTTTTGTGTACCTTATAGTAAAGTGTTAACACCTGTTTTCATCCTGCCTTGTTTTTCAGGTGCGATCACTCCAGTGAGCGATGTTCCYTCTGATTTGACCACAGCCGATCTCCTCTCCCATTCTCCATCCACAGTTTTTGATGAGAACAAGCCCATCGCCGCCAGCGGAGCGTATAATATAGACTTTAGTGCCGTAGAACCAACAGGTCACTCTCTGACCCGATCGCTCAGCCTTCAAGGTGGGGAACTAGATAGCTCTGCTCTGCTGGACGAATCTGCGTCTGGAGGTTTCCGTCCGACATCTGGGTCCTTCAGCGTAGGCACCGAGAGCACTCCAGGTCCGATTCATAGACCAAAGAAAGTCCGACCCGGTTCTGTAAAGAAGAAGCCCCTCCTCAGGCAGAACTCCAACCCTGAGAGCCCAAAGCCAGCCTCGTCCAGCAGCACCCCGGAAATCAAGAAACGGGCAAAGCCCCAAACTGCCAGCCCTCTRCAGAGTCAGGAGGTAACTCAGGACGTGACTCCGAGCCCTGCAGGGACTCTCCGAAAAACCAGGAAGAGCCGTGTTGAAACTCCTCCTCCTCTACCAGAGGAAACCAGTCAGACTTGCCAAGAGGAGAATGGTGTCCCTACCTTACCTTTGTGCCAGGAGGAAACCCTTCAACCAGCTCTTCTAACAGACAAAGAAGACTCTCCTATTCCTCCTTGTGCCTCATACCAATGGGACCCAGACAATTTTGAAAACATTGACCCCTTCAAAAGTGGAGGTAGTAAAATTGCCAATTCTCCTGTTTTGGATCGTAAAAGTCCTGTTTGTGGGCCTATTTCCAGTCCTCCAAGAAGTCCCCCTCTCCCTGCTGTGGAACCCCATCGTTTCACTCCACCTGCTCCTTGTGAAGCACTGACCAACAATCCCGAGGAGCAACCCATTTTACCCAAGCATCAGGCGGTAAGACTCGAGTTCGACTACTCTGAGGAAAGCAGTGAGGCGTCACAGAAGGCCACGCCCCCACCGAAAAAAGTGGTCAAAAAGCTGGGCGGCAAGATGCCGCCGAGGAAAACGAAGCTGGGGCTGAAAAAGACGACTCCAGCCCCGGTGGAGCAGCCGGACAACAACAACCCTCCCGCAACTCACACAAACAACGAGGATGAAATGGATTTCCGTAAAGCTTCTTACAACTTTGAACCCGACAAGTGGGAAGATCCGAACTTCAACCCGTTCACTTCAAAGAAAAATATCTCCAATTCTCCTAAATTARCCAGGCCGTCGTATAATTATGACCCGGACAGCTTTGATGACTCCATAGACCCGTTCAAACCCTCCATCAAAATGGCCAGTTCCCCTCCTAACGCCTCTGCCTCTTTTGAAATATCAGCCAATGACTTTGATAATGAAAATGACAACATTGGAGAGCTAGAGGACCAAAACCAGAACAAACCAGCCAAGAAGAAGAAAACTCCCATAAAGTCGTAAGTTCTTGTTATTTCTCAGTGGGTCGTGTTTTATTAGAGACATCCATGCTCCCTGATGTTTGTGTCCGTCTGTCTGTCACCTGTTTGTGTGCTTTCATGTATCACAGGAAGTCCAGTGGTGTGTCCTCTCTTTGTTGTATGTTGTAAGTACAGGGACAACGCAAACGTCGTCCCATTTTGACCCCTAATTCCACCTAATTTCCAATTAACAGACATCATAATCCCTCACTCACAATCAGGCAGATGCATCTAAACTTTGATTTCAGCCTTTTTAAATAAAAACTTCTGTTTTTTCAGCTGATATTGCAAATTAGACACCAAGATTTTTGGCTTAGTTATTAAGATGAGGTGCTGTCCAAGTGTCAAGATATTGGGTTTTTGTATTGCTTGTTTGTCCAACTCCTTTAGGACATTTCAGCTATAACTTTTAGTATTTCATCAATTTACTTTTTGAGATATTTAGCCTTTTCTGACATGTTTTTCTCTTTAAAAAGGAATGGAGCTTTTTCAACGTCCTCAAAACCCTTTAAAATGTTCCTAAAGCTTTATTGTATTTTTTTATTTTTTGTTCTAGTTCTGTCTTTTTAACTCCTTTGTACTAATTTCAGTTTCCTTCAGCTTCTAATTTGCTGACTTGCTTTTTTCTTTTGTTTTAGCTATCATTTTGAGCAACTATATAAGCTTTTCTGCTCATTTAAACTTTTTTGGGCTTTTTTCAGTTTTTTCTTCTATTTTAAGCCATTTATACTATTTTCAGCTTCCTTCTGCTAATTTCAGTATTTTTTGTTTTTGTAGCTACTTTTTAGATAACTTGATATCTTTTTAGCTGAATTCACGTTTGTGATAATTTCAGAAAACTTGCTCTTTCTTTTTCTTTGCGCTAATCCCAAATAATTTTTCGCCTTTTTTTTAGCTATTCAGCAGAAATATTTCAGCATTAAGCTTTCACAATGCATTTTCACAGGAAATGCAAATTCTGTAATTTTTATTCAGTTGGGCTAAAAATTATATTTTTGCATCACTGCTTTAATATTTTTTTATTCTGTTATTTGCATCCAAATGTGTAACAAAAAGGGCTCATGTGTGCCCTCTTGTGTTCATTGTTTGCAGTTGTCAAGAATTCTAAAAGTTCATGAAAATCGTTTCTTTTTGATGAGATACACGTTTTTTTATCATTTTATTCAGATTAATTCTGGTATTGAACATACATGCAAACATCGGAGGCTTACAGAGCATAAAAATGATATTCTCTTCTGTAAGCTGCTGTAAATTTGCAAACACAACAGCTGATGCTTTGTAAAAGCTGCARATATGGAAGTCTGAGTGCTTAATTTCAAAAAGTAAAAATGCATTAACAGTTAATCTGSTGCGTAATGTCACTAACAGCTCCACTAAGATATATTTATTACTGTATTTGTTGACATATTTAGGATTAAAATGATCAAGTTGTAGAATTAATTTATTAATTTTTTTGTCAAATAAATTTCAGTGTTCTGTTTATTTCTGACTCTCATAATGAAGTGTATTGTTTCACAATGCTGGTGATTTGTTTTGATTAAAATCATGTCCTAACAATTTCATGTTTTAATATAATCATCGAGGGGTCTTTCTGATTCTGGATTCTCATGATTTAACATTTATTTGCTTTCAGTAATACTTTCAGAGTGAAGCGGTCACCAAAGAAATCAGCGTTATCGGACACGTCCCAGGTGTGTTTTCACACTGCTGTTTTCTCCTTTTAGTTGTGTCTTTCTGCGTCTCCTTCCATCCGTTCGACTCTAAACCTCGGCTACTTTTTCTTTCTTGCTGCAGGATCCAGATGATCTCGGCACACAGGACGATCACGCCACAGATGAGGAGAAGTTAGCCTCCTCCACGAACATTAAGTGGGCGGCCCGGCACGACACGGATTTGAACGCAGACCAACAAGACTTCCCTCAGCCSTCTGACCTCACTTCTTTTGTCAACGAGAACAATCTCCCTCAGGAGGCCCCAGGTGAGGCTCGCTGTCTGGCTCTTTGTTCTTTCAGCCACCTGTGTTCATACATCAAAGCACACCAAAGTCAGGCAGCGCTCAGGAGAATTCAAAGCTGCTCTGATAAAATGCTCATGCACGGACACTAGTGTCTTTACTGTCCATTCACAGAGCAGGGCTATTGATTTTGCTTGTGGAAGTAAACTAAGCGTGTTGGCCCAGTTCTCCACTCTACCAGAGGCTGTCTGGCTCAAACCCTCTGGATCGAAGATGAAACAGAGCGCAGGCAGCCTCTGATCRCGTCACACCAGAACTCACAACTGCRTGACMTCTTTCTCCGTCTCATTTTCTGCGTKTAATCCTCGACGTTTCTCTGTCTTAGTGCAAGACTATGAAATCGAGTACATGGAGAAGATTGGCTCTTCATCGCCTGTAAGTTTCAGCCAATATTTGTAGTTTTTTGGTGTAGAGTTTGTGTTCCCTTCTGTTTCTATCAGTAATTTATGTTCTGATTTTTTGTCTTTTTTACAGCCGCTGTCAGTGAAGAAGCCATCTTTGTATTTGAATTTGGACTCGGTGTCTGACAGTTTAACAACAAATACATGTGCACATGGATCTGAGCCCAGCTCCCCCTGCACAGGGTAAAAAATACCAGATAATTAAAATTTATATGCCTACAGTTTGTGTATTTATGTTGTTTCTTTGCAGAWAGATTAAGGTTTTATAGTAACTTCCTAAKTGGGTTGCGGTCACGTGACCCGGATGATGCGTAAAATTCAGATGYAGGGCAGGAAGTGATTTGCTCCGGTTCAAAACACAGTGAAATGGATCACAGCGAGTACGCAAATGGACTAGCTRAGATGAGATATCATGATAAAATATGCGTACATTTAGGATATGATCCATATTGTCTTAATAAAAACGACTTGCCATATAATCTGGAGGATTTATCTGGCGTCGAGGCGATTGACATAAACTATCTGGTGCTGCAGACCTCGTATTATATGACGAGCCAGATGAAAGCTTTCAAAAAGCCTCAAAGCTACAATTATTTAGTTCAGGTTGGGTCAAACATTTAGGATCCACAAAGCTTTATACATGTATGTCTGTTGACTTGTTTCTGCCCAGCTGAGTTGTGCTATTTTAGATAATTAGCCTATGATAACAATGCTATCACCATTGCTAACGCTAACAAAATAATATAACTTAKCTGGGATATGAGTGCTTGTCTTTCTAAGTACTTGTCCAATAAAATATCTAAAATAAGATTTAAAKGATACAGCCCTTACCTGTTAGAAAGRGGTCGCTGCAAACTCCTGTTTTTAGCCTGTTGATTCACTTTTGTTGTCTTTGTTATGTAAGTTTTTTTTTTTTAAATCAACTCCCTCGTGACACACTACTTTCAGAACACAAACTCTTTCTCTAAACTTTCTCCCGATTAGAGTGGTTGCAACAACCGTACACGGCACAGAATTATTTTGACGCTGAACCAACAGAAAGAAACGGGGCTGCGTTTACTTCCTGCCCCACCGTCTGCATTTCGTGACGTCGATACGCCATCAGCAACCCAGCATACTTGTTATGCCTCATTATCACCCTCTGTTGAAAGGTGATAAAAGTTGAAAGACCATAATACCTGTCTGTCTGTTAGCAAAATTTCACATAAACCAAACTTGCACTAAGTATTTATTAGATATACATCTACAACTAATWTCCATTTAGAGTCAACCTGATTCAACATGGCCGCCACAGCTAACTTTCAACGAARGCTTTACTCTGCGTTCACCCTGTTCCTCTCACCCCGTGCAGGAGTTTCGAGGAGATGGAGGCTCAGATATCGGCAGGCATGAAGACGCCGGTGTTGAGCTCGCGGCCCGGGCCCGAGGGTTCTGCTGGAGATAAGGGCAGGAAGAGAGAGAGCGAGTCGCTCAGTCGGACGCAGAGCGCAGAGCGGGACGAGCAGGTGAGACACGCAGCTTTATGAGAACTTCGACGCAATTTGCTGCAAAAAAAAAGAAAAGAAAAAGGTTTCATTTCTGTGTTGACTCACCATCGTGTTGTAAAATTTGCCACTTTTTATTTCACATTTAACACCACACTGTTGTTCAGTCACAGTGCAGGTGGCAGCGGCTCGGCCTCGTTAGAAATAAGCAGAACGCCACACATGCACACAGTGCCCAGTGGCGGAGCCAGACATTTTTCTCAGGGGTGGCCAGACTGGGTCCAGTACTCACACAGAGGTAGCCAGGAAAATTACAGAAAATTTTACTTTAAAGTTTCTGCAGKTCTTTGTGTTTTAGTCATTTCCTTATGTCCTTATACAGGCAGTGACTACCTTATAAACATGGGTGTGAGAACCATTTTAAAAGTGGGGGGACACGCTGTTGGGGGGTCTGGGTTCCTCCCCCAGAAAATTTTGACCAAAATAGATGCTATTTCCTGCGTTCTGGTGTATTTTACCAGGTTGTTGAACATAATTTTACCTACATAAATAAACATGATTTAACAATAATTTCAGTGACAGATTACTCACTAATCTAGTTCCATCATCCTGTTTTTAAACTCACTGCCATGGCTGAGAAAAGGTTAATTAATGTGACACAATTTATCATATCTATTGACTATATGGGTGCTTTTAACTTTTATATTGTTTATTGATTTTNGTGGTTGTGTGTGTAAACCTGTGTGTGTGTTGATGTGTCTCAGATGGGCAGTTATCTGTCACCTGACTGCAGATTCATCGTGGTAATAAAATCCAGTGGAAATAAGGAACAGAACATTCACCTCCATCCATTGCTTTAACCTCCTCTGGAATCACAGTTGTTRTTTCTGTTGCAACAAAAACCAGGTATTTGTGTGTCTCCTACAGATCACAGCACTGTGTAACGCCRCGAGGCGATACAGACGTGCTCAATTGGAAAACAAACATTTCCTTTGTGACATGATGCTGCTCGCCCTAACATCACCTTCCTGGTTTGGTCTCRAGAGGCTTTCATGTTGCCTTCAGTCTAATTCAGAGCAATCCTGTCTCTTTGTGCTTTCTGTTGGGTTTAGGAGCTCCGACTCTGATGGTGCTTTCGAAACGCCAGAATCTACAACTCCGGTGAAAGCTGCTTCTRCCACAGAGCCCCACACAGAGGAGATAAAATCTGATGACAAAGGTACACACAGTAATTTATTCWTACCTCTGATGAGAGATAAAACTGTATTTTTAGAGGTGGTGTTATACTGCCATCTGGTGGAAGAAAGWTAGATTTCACATCTGGAGCCTTAAATTCAGTTCAGTTTCATTTTAGTTCAMTTTGTTTCAATATTTCAAATAACAGTGCAGTTAAAGGGTAAGGTACACAAGAACTACTGAGGAACTACTCAGTAACTACTGAGTAGTTACTATGTAGACACTAAGTACACCAAAGAGGAACTACTATGTAATTACTAAGTACATCAAAGGTGAACTACTAAGTAATTACTAAGTACATCAAAGGTGAACTACTAAGTAATTACTAAGTACATCAAAGAGGAACTACTCAGGAACTACTGAGTAGTTACTGAGTAGTTACTAAGTACATCAAAGATGAACTACTAGGTAATTACTAAGTACATCATAGAGGAACTACTAAGTAATTACTAAGTACATCAAAGATGAACTACTAAGTAATTACTAAGTACATCATAGAGGAACTACTAAGTAATTACTAAGTACATCAAAGATGAACTACTAAGTAATTACTAAGTACATCATAGAGGAACTACTAAGTAATTACTAAGTACATCAAAGATGAACTACTAAGTAATTACTAAGTACATCATAGAGGAACTACTAAGTAATTACTAAGTACATCAAAAGTGAACTACTAAGTAATTACTAAGTACATCATAGAGGAACTACTAAGTAATTACTAAGTACATCAAAAGTGAACTACTAAGTAATTACTATGTA